GATGGATACCAGCCTGAAAATCTTCCAGCTGCTGTGTACCCACATGCACACAGACCTGATTAGAATAGACATGAACACCACAACTTGAAGAAGAACCGTTAAGAGGAGGTGAGTAACCTTTCTTACAATGATAGAATATCACTTATAGAATACAATGTTTTGGCATGCATGTTTTGGTAAAATGACTCGCAGTCAATGCCCCACAGAGGAAAATTGGATTAAGAGAAATACAGCATACTGAAGAGTACAAAGTAAAATGTACTTTCTCCAGCTAAATGCTCCCCTTTTAGTGAGAGGAACTCTGCTGTTTGTTTGAGTTGAGAAAAGACGTGTTGGGAAATAATGGACTCTCTTCCTAGAAGAAGCCAAAACTATGTTCCTTTTGTAGTGTTTAGTGCTGCTTGTGTCTCCACCCCCAACCTGCAGTGAAACTTATTAATGCATGATTTTCTGTTTAAATGTTGAACCATACAAATGAAAAGTCAATACGCATGAACATGACATGTTAAGGTAATACAGTGTTAACCAATATATGGATCATTTTTCATCGAGGATACTGCTCGAACAATCTGAAATACTAAAGCCATTTTTTAATTAATTTCACAAAAATGTATAGCAGTTTGTCTTTGTAGTCAGAAATGGGATGCTGACGCTTGGAACTGAAACTTCCCAAATAATTTATTAAAGTTTCTGTAACACTTCACTCCTGGTCTGAATCTGGGAGAGAGAATGTGTGGGTTTAAATTGAAAGGGGTTCAATAATTGAAAGTCCCATGCTATTTGAATCCTTGTTAAGACTTTTGTGACTATATAAGGGAAACTTTAAAATATCAGGGAGTCTATTGCTTTATCTGCTTCAAATGTTGACCACAGCAACCAAGTCTCACGATGATCAATGCATTTCTATGTTGCCCATGTCCCTCATTGGTATTGCTGAGTCAATTGACACGAACGTTCCTAAAGAGCCTTGTGTACTTAAAGTTTCCTTAACTAAAGCAAGAACTCATTATTATATGCTCCAGGTTTTTTTTTTTTGTTACCTGCAGAGCCAAATATGAATATTTAAGTCCTTGCACCATTTGGACAAGCACCACACACTAACAGCTCTGCGTAGGTACAAATGTCTACCCATGGATGCGGATATCCTCAGATGAACATCCGTATCCACTGATGTACAGGGCTCCGCTCCCAAGAGGCACTGTGGCCAATGGAGAGCAATGTGACTTCCTCACTCTTCAGAGCTAGTGCCCCATGCAAGCAGCTCCTCCTGGCAGTGTGGCTGTACTGTTCCCAGCTCTGCCCCCAGTGCGGTGGTACAGTCCCAGACAGGAGATATTGCAGGGGAGGCTTGGGTTGGAGATGATATAGTTGCATGGCTGTGAGGACCTGCTGGCATGGGTCACTGGTTCCCAGGAGTGAGGAAAAACCACTCGTATACGTTGTCCACAATGTCTCTTGAGAATGGGGGCCTGCAGATCAGTGGATATCTGCATCATCAGGCAGACATTTATGTGCGTGCAGAGCTCTACATATACTCCTTTGCAGTTTCTGTACTTTATTTCTTGGCATCAGGGGATTTTAGAGCACTTCAAAGTGACAGTGAAGACTATTTTTTGTATAAGGTTGCTTTCTTTCAATGGGAACAAGAGAAATAATAGAGTTAATATACAATACTTTTTAAAAACAAATGTTTGAGTATTAGTTACAGAGGTGAATCACAAGAAAAAAAACACATCTGACTCTAAATTGAATGCTTTAATTTTTTAACCTTTTTTTGCAGGTAGATCACAGGATTTAAATAAGTTAACTTGTTCAATACATTTTTATTCTGACTTTTTATTATTCATATAGTGTAGATGTAGTACCTTACTATATTCTTCCCTGTGAAATAGAGGACAAAGTAATGAACATTTTGAGTTAGCGCTGATATAGTCAGAGCAGTCACTTAATTTTTATTCTAAACCAGTCAGTTTTTTTCCTCTGCTTCCTGGAATGATTTTTTCTGTTGGTGATAATGAAACTTATTTTACCTAAGATAATAAAATTGTTTTTATTCTTGTTATGGAACATGGAAGAAGTATTATTTTTCTAATGCCTCGTCAAATTAATTTTTATTACTATATATTGTAGCATCACATGTTCAGTAAACATCTTAGTTGCTTTGCTAATGAAGCATCTTGAAATTTACAAATTTTATTAATCCAGAGGGTAGTTTTCTGCTGTTAATCTGTTTGCTACTGATAGTTTATAAAAAAAAACCCATGAAATTTAATTTTAAGTACTCAAGATCCTTGGTTAAAAGGCAGGATACAAGGGCTAAATATAAATATTTGTAGTAGTGGCTAAAGCCTTATAGTAAAGGAGTGCTTCTCTTTTGCTTGATCCATAATAGAACTGAGCAATAATATTCCAGATCAAATGAAAGCCAAAGAATAGGAATGGTTAAGTCCTAAGCATACTGTAAAGACTCTGAAAAGGATCTCACAAGCTCGGTGAGTGGGCAACAAAATGGGAGATGGAATTCAGTGTTGTTAAAAGGAAAGTAAGCACGCTGGAAAATACAATCCCTATTCTATATAAAAAATTAGGTGGACTACATTGACTGTTGCCTCAAAAAAAAAAAAAAAAATCTTGGGGTCACTGGATAGCTCTTTGGAAAAAATATCTGCTCAGTGTGCAGTAGTAATCAAAGTTAGTTAGCAACCATTAGGAAAAGGATAGTTATTATATAAAGACAGTAAGTATAGTCTGGTACATAAATGTGTAGTATGCACACACGGTAAGTATTGCATGTAGTTCTGATTGCCTTAACTCTAAAAAAGGCATTAGAATTGAAAAAGTTACAAAGAAGGGAAACAATAACAATTAGGGGTTAACTGCTTCCTTATTATGGGGAGAGAGAAAGACTGGGACTGTTCAGCTTGGAATAGTGAAAGCTAAGGGTGGAATATGATTATAAGTCTATAAAATGAGGAATTGTTATTTACCTTTTCATAAAATTAACCAGATGGCTGTTGGTGAAATTAATAGGTATTAGGTTTAAAACTAATATTAGGTAGTACTTCTTCATATCACACAAGTCCACTTGTGGAACTTATTACCAGGTGATGTTGCGATGGCCATAAATATAACTGGATTCCAAAAAGAATTCCGAGTGTTACCCAAGGTGACCTTTCTCTGGGTGTCACTATGGCGAAGATTTGAAATCCTGAAGGTACTTGAAGGCTCCATTTCTTTCCTTTTAATATAATCTTTCTTAGTACTTACCTTAGAATCCGAATATATTATTAGCATCTATGGAAACTAAGTTGTGGAATTTCAATTCAAAGATTGAGAACATTTATGAAACAAGAATCTGAAATACATACAAAGGATATCAGAATTCTGTAAGGTAGTATTTTTGCACTCCAAGGCCAAATTCTGGCTTCTTTCAAAGCGCACAGAAATTTCTTGAGGAATCTTAGCAGCAAGTATACACTTACAAATCTCCATGCGCTATAGAGCAACAAAGCAGAATTATCACCTTTGTTTCTATTAGCCAGGGAGTCATCTGGCAAGATAATTTCTTTTTAATGTTTTTAAGCTTTGGGAAAGTGCTTGTTTCCTAAGGTTGCCTTAATTTGTAACTTTGGGCCTCCTAAGGTTTCAAAACTCATGTTCTTGTCCATAAAGGTCAGAGAAAAGTCTTGAACTTGGGTCTTCAGCATCCCAGTTTACCACTCTAACTACTTGAATTCTCTGGATTTGATTAAAAATTCCCTCAGGAATCTGAGAGACATTTCCTCTTAAAAGCTTACTTTAAACTGCTATGTTCTGGTTGTGGTTTAACCTGAAAGTTCCTGACTACATTTAATTTTGAAAGAAGCAATGTGGCTGAGTGGATGATACTTAAATTTGTTCTTCTAGCAACCTGGGTGGTTTGTTGGCTTTTCTGGGAGAGGTGATTGTGCAGCCTCTTGGTTAGCATATGTGTAAAACTGGGCAATGCTGTTAGACTGCTATCTTGGATATTACGCCATGCACAAGGAGAAGGACTCTCAAGTACACAAATATCAATAGCATTAGAGGTGAGATCAGTCTCGTGGCTTATTGGCTTCCTAGCTCTATACTGTACCATGCCATAGATTTCATGATAAATAGCTTCCCACCCACAGAACTCTGTGGTTGAAGAGAACGTGTGAGTCAGCTGAAATGTGGAATGTCTTGCAGAATCTGGCATCATTCAGAGCTCAGCCAATATCTGTTTTCAAGACTGCTCACTTCTCAACAGGAATATTAGAAAAAGCTATGTTGAACAGGACTTTTACTGCTTTAGTGAACTATTGTGTTGAGCCTGCAGTCATTTTGAGTTTTAACTTGTGCTGCTGCTACTTACTTCAAGTCTTCATCAAACACATGAAATACTTGAAAATATGAGCAGAGTTGTCAGTTGCTTTCTCCAACCATTTAATTCAGTCCTTAATGAAATTTCCTTTTGCTTCCCTGTTGCTTCTGTCTTACATGTATACATATCATATCCTTTGTTTAAACTGAGTTTGTAATACAGATTTACAGTTACTATGAATGTGATAATGTTTATGTAGTTCTTCCCAAACATCTGGAGGCAAAAGTTCAAGGTTTGTGCTGATTGTCACCACATTTCATGAACTGCAATCCTTTTTTAAATGGAACTTCCCCCCCAAGGGATACATACACACAGGATTAGTCACTGCTAGAGAAACTCATTTAAATTTAAGGCTAAAATTTAACTTCAAAGTGAATGAGTCCTAGCCAAGATGGAGCTGGTACATTGGACAAGGTTGCATATCGGAAGGCTTCGGCAGAAATGAATTTAGGAACACAAGGAAGGGTATCTGGTAAACAGGCAATTGATACTGGATCATTCATATTTTGCACATTTCATTTGATCTAGAATTTAGTAGAGTTTTTCAAAATTATTTGTGCTGATTTGGGATGGAAAAATTGTACTTAGCTTTTGTCTTTTTTTCTTCTTCTTTCAGTTGGGTTGAAAACTTCGGCCACGAAGGACTGGGATTGTTGCTGGATGTTCTAGAAAGATTGGTTGAAACAAAACTGTAAGGACACTCCATGTAAATCTTGAATTTTTTGCAATATTATAATTAATTGGTAATTACAACTTGAAATGTTTCTATCAATTCAGTCAGGACAGAGTTGTGAAGAGGAGTCAGCATAAGGTTGTACAGTGTTTGAAGGCCTTTATGAATAATAAGGTATGTGATTTATTGTTACTCAATAATTGACTTTATTCATGAGGTAGTCTATGCTACATTATGATTTAGATGTTTAACCTGAAGTGACTTCATTTACATGAATGGTTTTCAAATATTATATATGAAAGAAAACCACTGTTACGTTTTAGCCCCTCATGCCCAGATCTATTAATGTTTGTGGTTTGCACTGTAAATATTTTGATTTGAGATAAAATCTGTGAATCTTAACTAAACATAGTAACTTCAAGTTGCTTAAATGATTATTTTAATATGGAAAATATTATTTCAGTATCCAACTTAGATTTATTTTTCTTCTGTTATGTGGAAGGAGTCTTTGCAATTGAACACATTTTTGATGGTTTCCCCCATATTGTATTTCATTCTTCAGTGTGAAGCTGGTTATCTGTACAACATGTTTAGCCAGTCGTTCAGTGGTTTGATTTGTAGATTGATTTTAAACCTCAATAATTTGAAGACCTCATTTAATTTCTTGAACAGTGTATATGGTTTTAGAGTTTAAGTATATAGCCTCATCACCTTTAGTAGTTTTAATATAAAGTCTAATTACCACTAAATTTTCTTGAAGAAATAAACAATACAAATTAACCTAAGAGGCTCCTGAAATCATAATGGTCCATTAAGTATTATCATAATTCAAACTCTTAAATTCTAAGCTTCTGTTGTTTTGCATTGCTGTATCATTATCCACCAGTTACTCTTTTTTGATTAGTACGCTATGAACAGCTCTTCCGACATCTTTCTAATGATATTTCACATTGGTACCATTTGTTTTTCATGAAGGCTTTTGCACGTCTCTCAGATTTCTGTTTTTTTTTTTTTTTTTTTTTTTGGGTCAAGCATGCAAAATAGTCCTACTGAACTCCAGGCACTCCAATTATATTGATATATCTTAATACTATTCATTCTGCTTCCAGCAATATCTTCTCATTCACAGTCCACAGCTCAGCTTTTTCTTGGAAATGCAGGAAGAAAGACAAATCACATGGGATCTGTTTAGCTAGACCAGATCAACCCAATTAAGAACTGTTCAGCAATAATTTGTGCGGTGTAGGTTATTTTTCCTATTTCAATCTGTTCAATATAATAGAGGTCTGCAGTCAACCTCTGATCCCAGCACATGACGGGGACTTCATTCCCCTACACTCCTGTGAGTGTTAAGCAGATTTGGGCAGGGGAAGGGGTTGCGTCCTTGCTGTAAAATGTGTCCTTGATACCAAATCCTGTTCCTCAGTTGATTTAAAAGATAACTTCTTGAAATTCACCTCCAATTCCTTTTTATTAGGGAATCAGATACTTGTGAAGGTAAGACCATCTTTTGCTCTTTGGGAGAGCTTACTATATTGAGTTGATTTATCCTTTTGGCCAAGGGATTGTATGTAATTATGTAAATCCTTGTGGTAGGGTGACAACAATTCCTCCAGGAATTAAGAAAAGTGGCTGGTGATCATCCTAATTCATTTAAGAGCTACTACCACATATAGAGGCATGCGTATACAGAGATCAACAGACACAGAAAGGATTGACTCAACAACTTGAGTTTACTATGTTTAGTTAGGGTTCACAGGGGGCCTCACCAACTCAGTCCCAGTAAAAGGACAGCACCCTCTGCCCACAGGGGGCCTCACCACTCATTCTTCCTATAAAGGGTTAGGTGGACTTGAACCTAATGATACTAAAGAAATCTGATAAGTGATCTCATGCACACAGGACCTTTTATTAATTTTTGCTTTCTCCGTAGTACTTTCACCTTAATTGTTTTAAAAGGGTTATAGTAACTTCTGCTGGCAATTACAATTGCCTTTGAAGAGCAAAACACAGATGCTGGCGTGTTCAGTCAGTTGAGTGCTGGGAATATCAGAATGTAGACAGGCAGCTGTGCAGCATGAAAAAAAAAAAACCTGAGCAGGGAGAAACACACTTGTATCTCTAACGGAAAGAGATGATGGCTGAGGAGCCTAGAGCAGGTGCTCTCGGTGGATCTCAGAAGAGGGAATATAGCGGTGTTGTCCTGAACTGTTGTATTCTATCAAACTAATACCTACAGGCTGTGTCTAGACTGGCAAGTTTTTCCGGAAAATGGTCTGCTTTTCTGGAAAAACTTGCCAGCTGTCTACACTGGCCGCTTGAATTTCCGGAAAAGCACTGACGATCTCATGTAAAATCATCAGTGCTTTTCCGGAAAAACTATGCTGCTCCCGTTTGGGCAAAAGTCTTTTTCCGAAAGACTTTTGCGCAAAAGGGCCAGTGTAGACAGCATAGTTCTGTTTTCCGCAAAAAAAGCCCCGATTGCGAAAAAGGCGATCGGGCTTTTTTTGCGGAAAACTGCGTCTAGATTGGCCACGGATGCTTTTCTGCAAGAGTGCTTTTGCGGAAAAGCATCCTGCCAATCTAGACGCGTTTTTCCGAAAATGCTTTTAATGGAAAACTTTACGTTAAAAGCATTTTTGGAAATTCATGCCAGTGTAGATATAGCCACAGTGTATCAGGAGGCACTAGCAATTAACATAGTTGTCTCCCCAACCTACAGTTGAGTTTCTTCATAATTAACTATTTCTTCCTGACATTGGCCAAAAACCTATTCAGTGCTTCGTTACCCAAGGACTGGCTGTTTCAGGATGTGTACCCCATCTTCACTGAACTCAGATATGACTTTTTTACTGATCCTCACTATGTGTACAAATTTAGCCATCTCCCAGTCCATGCATATTTTAGCCATATCAATCCATGAAGCCTTTGGGTCTCTTGATTGTATCCGCCCCTGCAGCATTTCAGGCAGGTTTGCAGGTACGCTGGGAAAAAGGTCCTTGTTTCCTCCTTACTCCCTATGCTAATGTTGCTTAAGGAATCCCAGATCTTTACAACTAAATTTATAATAATCCTTTAATATGATTTCTTTTTGGCTGCCTGCCAGCATCAGGATGAGACACAAACCTCTAGACTAACTGGTCCTGCCTGGTTTACAAGTGCTGAATACTTTGCCTACCAATCCAAATAGCAACTCTTATAATCTGTTCATTTGCTCCATGACATTGGATAAACATAAGAAAGTTAATACACTAGCACCACTGATTTTTTCCTTTTTCCATCCTGAGTCATATATGACTCATACATTCAAACGCCACTGCCTAAGAACCCGTATCCCCGAGTCCTACTTGATTATTGTTACCATGTAGAAGTTGTTGCCTTGATCTAGAAAGTATGGGACCCAAATTAACCAGAAGAAGATTGCAACTGTGCCATGAAGTCTGCCACAAGCTGGAATTGAATGTAGTAACCCTCACAATGAAGGAAATAATGGTCATGACCAGCTAGCCTCAGTTGTGTATAAGTTCTTACTGCTGCTCCCAGGATAATTGATTTTTCCCTGCCCTTGTGCAATAATATGGGCTCTCTTTTTGTCTGTGATGTTTCAAGATCAAGGTGACTGATCATTTGCCCTCCTGTAAATCACTCATCTCCGATGCCTCATTGGAAATAACTCCTTATAAACAGCTTAGTTCTTGGTTTCTAAATACTCCAAAAGTGCCACTAGGAATGTAGATTTAAAGATGTGTTGTGTGTATTGACTTAGCTATTGAGGAATTCCGACCACACCCCAAAACATCTGAATAATGATGGTTCGTTGGCGGAATGACTGGCGTGGCAAAGGGGTCACACTGAGATGGTTGTTAGGGTGAACTGCAAAGACTGAGGAAGACAATTCCCCAAACTGGTACTTATGCTATTGCTTAGATTGACAAAGCCACTAACGAACAGCTTCTGCAATATATTACTGATCACTGACAAGTCCAAAATACAGCTCCCTTAGAGCAACCTAAGACAGCCAAGTCAAATATGATGAGGAATACTGAGGAACTTGTCCATCATATAAAAGCTGTACAGATCCCAAAAGATCAGACACCTTACCCTCCAGGACAATAAATATTTCCCATTTTATCCAAATACATGCATATAACCAATTTTTATAAACTTATCTAAAATGTATTTAAAAGAGAGATCATTATACCTACAGATATGAATAGAGTTGTTAGATCACTTTCATAGTAGAGATAGTGAACTTCAGTGCTGCAAAAAGCCCTTGCAGAATGAGGTTACAGTCCTAAAAGTATTCCAATAATTCACTAAATGGATTAAAATAAGGCAGTTCCCTAACTCCTGCTATTTACAGGTTCTTTATTCTGTGCTTCAAAGATTAATGAAGACAGTGATATCACTAGATTCAGTTAGATTTAAATGTTAATATCAGTGATTCTCTGTTAGCTTTTTTTAACATGTTTTATCAGTTTGTTTAATGTTAATATCTCCTTTTGATCTCTGAATTTAGAAACTGTGTGGTTACATGATCATGAGACTGTGGCTGTGTCAAAAACCTTACTAAATGAAGATGCGTTGTGCCTACTGCTTTTGTATAGCCCTTTCTGATTTTTGTTCCTGTATGCTTGCTCCATTCTTTGGTATTAATTCATAGCAATTTGTCCAAATTTCCACTTTTTGTAGGATTCCTTATTCATTTTTCAGGTCATTGTAGGGCCTGCGAGCCTTGTGTTATGTAGGTTATAGCCCGTAGCAGCTCGAGTGCCTTCACATTTACATGGAAGTTGGATTGTTTGTCTTCCTAAAATTGTCAAGTGGTCTTTGATTTATTTTCAGATGCTCACAAATAACATTCCTAAGCAAATTTTGCTTTGGGCCTTTTAATGTTTCATTCAACTTTTCAATTATTCTTGACTGAGAAAATTGCTTGGAAACACCACATTTCCATATTAAAAATAATTAACAGTTGGAAAATTGTACTATTATATTGTAACCATGGTTTATGCTTGTTGCTAAATACTTGTACCATCCTACAGAGACTTAAATTGATATTCAGTAACCTGACCACACAACAAATTATAAGATCTACTGGAATATTGTGTGCTGCGTTCAGAGCGTTTCTGGGAATACTTAAAATTCTTAACAACTGAAGGCCAACTGATTAAATTAAATTTCTAATTAAAATCCCCAGCAAATCTGAGATGTATGATTGTTGTTATGCTATCTTATGAATAAGTGTTTTCTGTGGGATCACCCAGATTCGATTTTTCCATTGATGTAGTTGAATGTCAATTATTCTGCTTAAAAATACTTTCCTTTTACTACTGAAAAAGGAAAAGGTTGAAGTGAAATATAACTTGGAAGACAACACATACTAAATCATATTCTGCTACATCTATTTACAATTTTATTTCTTTTTTCAAAAGTTTGATTAAAATTGTGACAGTTTTTTTAGATGAATTTTTATTTTACTGTAGTATGGGTTGGAAAGAATAATGGGAGAAGAAAGGAGTCTAACATTACTGGCCAGAGCAATTGATCCCAGACTGTCTAACATGATGACTGATGTTGTTAAACTCCTATCTGCAATATGCATTGTTGGAGAGGAAAACATGTAAGTGTTGTATTCAATTTACCAGAGTTTTATACCCTTTTATAACTTGTACATAATCATTATCTGTTGAATAAGTTAACTACTTAATCATCAGTTTTTAGAAAAATGTTATTGAAAATTTACTGATTTTTTTTTTTTAACCAGAAAATAAAAAATCTTTACTGTTATCACCCCTTTGTCATTTATAAGAACCTTAGTGTGGCTTAGTGGGGGTGCTGTCTGCTCTGTAACCTGGTGTCCCCCTGCGCTGTGATGTGATTCCCACTGATGCACCCAAATGTGTATTAACCCATGCAACTAGGCTCAGCCTCCCAGGGAGAGAGACAAAGGGAGGAAGGCAGAGACCAACACCTGGCTGGGCGGTAGGGCCTTGAGGGGAGGCAGTTGCTGTCTGATGAGCATGGAGAGAACAGGCTAAGATGGGGCTAAGGGTGATGGGCCCTAACCCTAGGGGCCTGAGCCATCCTGGCCCTGCCCCCGCCCCCGGTAGCCACATCACGTATGTGCTGTGCTGTATTCTGGAAAATCAATAAACCCCTCTCTATGCTACTGGCTGGTGGAGACTGTTCTGGCTGCTATGAGGGTGCACGATCGGGAAACCCCCAACTTGCCGTCACACAGGTATAAGTTAACATTTTGAAATGTTCTCATCAATTTTCCACGAGGGAAATAAGAAATAATCACATGTTAAAATGGTAGTCAGAAAACTGAATGAATAATGTTTTGCTTTTTAATCTGTTGGCTATTGGCTTATATTTCTTAAACAAGTAGATGCGTACACTTTATAAATTTGTGTTAAAATAGGATTATGGATTAGGATTTATGATATCAGGAAACTTTTAGTTTAATTTAATAATTGGCATATAAGAAGTAATTTATTAGTAACAATAATATTTACCATAATGGGGGAGGAAGAAGAGGAAGTAGTTCTGGGAGATGGAAAAAGCTCAACCTTCTCACATCATCACCCCATTGCTGTAGGATTTTGTTGTTCGTAAATTTCTTATTAGGTGTAAACTAAGATAAAAGTTTCCTTGTAACAAAAATGACATTTAAACACAAAATTACAATGTGTATTGTATAGCCCTACTTCTTTTTAAGGAATTTTACACACCAAACAGATGTGTTTTTTTTTTTTTAAAGGCGGGGGGAGGGGGAAGTGTCTGTGAGGAATAATACTTTTTGTCCCATAAATCAAACTGTTGAAATTTCCTATAGCCTTGAAAAAATTTTGGAAGCTGTAACAGCAGCAGCAGAAGAAAGGAATGTTGACAGATTCTCTCCTATTGTAGAAGGCCTCCAGGATAACTCAGTACAGCTTCAAGTAAGTATTGTTTCTTCTATGATATTTTTTACAGTAAAACAAAAATGAAATAAGTGTATTGAATGCTTATTTTCTCATTAGACTGAAATGGAAGCTACCCAGATTAGATCATGTTCTGAAATGAGTTGTATGTAATTTAAGGAATGTAGATTATTGCTGAAGCAATTTTTACAGGTAAACTATTGTTGAAGCAAAGACTTCACTCAGTTTACGTGGCTAAACAGACAGTTTTATTGGCCAATAAAAGCAAAATGAGCCAAACGTGGTCCCAGCAGAGCCGGGCCCAGTGAGGCTGGCTAATACAATTAATCCTAGTATTTTATACCCCTTAACCAAACAAGTCTGACATCAGGGGAAGAAATCAAAGCGTACTTCAAAGAGGAATTATCAGCAGAGAAAGAAACGGGTTTAGAGGGTATTCAAGCTTCAGCTCAAAATAGTTCATTAACATATTCCAACAGCGTATCCTTCTGGCCTCTCCCCACCTAGGTGAAGGCTAGTTCACTCCCTCTAGTATATGTGTAGAGACAACAAAAGCCATTTCAGTTTCTTATACAGTGTGACCCAATATTCAATGGTTTCTACACTATCTAGCTTGTCACTTGCAGACTGTTCCCATGCTTTATTGGGTCACAGATAAGCATGGCAAATTCAGAATGAACTGCTGAGTAATAGAGCAGTATCACCTTAGAACTTGTGGTTCTTTGAGTGATGTCTCTGTGGGTTCTCCATTGTTGGTGTCGGGCTCATCCTGGTGCTGCAGATGAGAGACTTTTTCTAGCTGTGTCCAGTCGGGCCACACATGTGCCAGAGTGGTGCGTGCTGTTTACACCTTTGGAGTTTGCGCAGGTGGCCCGACTCACCTCAGTTCCTTCTTGACCACCCTAGGTCCTAGGTGAAGCGCAATCCCTCCTGTTCTCTTCAGTTCTCTGTGGATAGGAATTGAATTTGTAATTAATTTATAAGTGTTAGTCCTTTGTTAAATTGATAGTTAGTAATAGTTTAAAAAAAAGGTTGTAAATAGTTAAGGTGCAACTCCTGAGGGGCAGTGCATCACTAGCCTCAATGGCTGTGGTCCTCAGAACTCTACTTGGTTTAAAAAAAAAAAAAAAGGAAGAGTCAAGAAGAAAAATCTAGTAGAACAAATGGAAAAAGAGAGAGAGGATAAATTGATGATACTTGAAAATTCTCAGAGAATGAGACCTGCTGGGCATATAGCTACTGGTGTGCCTGTGCGGGGTGGGGGGTAGGGAAGGGGAGAAGGGGGAGAGCCGAGAAACAGTGAATTGCTGGATCTCCTGGTTTTAAGAAGTGTGAAAAGTGCCACAACCCTATCCCCACTTCAGACGGCCGTGTGTCTTATATTTGTTGCCTGGGGAAAGCACATGTCCCCCAGAAGTGCATCCATTGCTGAAGCCTTAAAGCCACAGCTTGTAAGGATTGGGAGCTCCGGCTATGTATGATGCTCTTCGATAAAGTGCTTGAACCTCAGAAAAACAGGGATGACACCAATCAGTCTGAGTCTGTCAACAAACAGAAGAAAACTTTGAGCCCTCCCTCACGTGAGCCCTTGTTCCAAAGAAGGGCCTCTGGAGCCTGCTCCCTAACCCCAAGGGTTGGTATGGGAGACAAACCAGGCACCGTACATCCCCGTGTTATGTTGGTGATGGACCCGAAATCTGAGCAAACTATGGCACCGGCTACTGTGGCACCGAAAAGGCCTACTGCCGTTAAACAGGATAAGACTTGAGCAACGGTGCTACTGCTGCTACCAACCAAGACTTCAGTGCCCACAAAGGCTAGATCTAAATCAGTTAAACGAGTGCTGTGCACTCCGAGTCTGGAGTCTGTCATCACCACTAGCATTGATGCCATCTCCATCTGCACATGCTCTTTGACACGGCAGGAACCTGTGCTGAGCTGTTGTCAGCCTGTGGCGCACACGCAGGGATATGATGTATCTGTTCTATATGAAACAACTGTGTGAGATGTAGATCCTCATATGTTTCTTCCTTGGGACACCAATCCCGATTCCCTTTCTCAGTTCATGGCTCTCTTCCTCCACCATGGTTCCAGTACTTTGACACTATAGTGACTACAAACGGGGTCGGCGAAGTGTACTTGTCCCAACACTCTTCTTCAACCAGAGCGCATTTATCCTATGATAGACACTGGCCATGCTACACTTGCCATCCTTTTGGGCATCCTGACTGGTCTTATCACCCACATTACCCAACTCACTTGTCTATATACCATCATTGGGTACCCACACGGCATCAGTCTAGAGCACTGTAAACACCGCCCCACAGGTCAATAACTCGCTCGTGTCCTACACTTTCCCTTTCCCAATGGTGGATCTGGACACAGAGGAGGCACAGATTATTGATAAACGTGATGCAGACCAACCTGATGTATTACCAACTGCCACATTGTCCTTATTGCCCGGTGAGGTGGTTATTCCCTATGACCTGAAGCAATTCCAGGACTTGTTCAAAAGAGTTGCAACCAGCCACGACGTGGTATTATCAGAGGTGCCCGAAAAACAACACCGGCTTTTGAAGAATCTTCATCCTTCAACTAAGTCAAGGATTGCACTACCTATAAACAAATCAATTAGGGAAGTAGTGGACGAGGTCTGGCAGGCACCAGCCACAGCCCTGCCAACCAACAAGAGGTGAGACCAAACAAATTATGTCTCCTCTAAAGGTGTGGACTTTTTATGCCTTCACCCACCACCAAATTTTCTGGTGGTTGATGCAGCATACCACAGATCTAAGACCCCACAATAAAGAGCTGCCACTCAGGACAAGGCTCATAACACTTACCGTAATTTAGTGAATATAACCCCCGGGCTGTATTCATTTTTACAAACCCTGCACCCCCCCGCCCCTTCCCGCAGGGTATACTTGGGTGTGCGGGGTATACAGAATTTTTTTTACTCAACAGGTGGTGAGCTCTCTGTCGCCTCTCCTATGGCTGCGCAGCTGCCAGCCTCCGGACAGGGGAGCATTCACTCTCTGGTTCTTGAGAAGATGCAGGAAAGAGCAGGGGAGCACTCATCCCCCGGTTCCTGGCCTCCAGCCTCTTGGCAGGGCA